GCTTCAGGGTGAGACCAAGGCCGCCTGGGGACCAGAGCCAGCCTGCTCTGTGAGGCTGCCAGAGAGGGATCAGCCCCCGGCAGCCGCCTCCACACCAGCAGGTGCGGACAGCCAAGCCATGTGATGCACCTTTGGGGCAAAGAACTGCCGAAACCGAGGCCAACTCAGAGCCGAATTCCTCAGCAATGTGCAAGGAGAAGCCCGGGGGTGTGCTCACACATTACAGAAGCTGGGGGCTCGCGGCGGGCCCTCTGCTGTGCCGAGCCCTGGGCCTCTCGGAATTGCGCAATCCTTACGCAGGAGCACTTGTTAAGTGTTGCAGCATGACTCCACATCTTTATCAAAAATGTGAACCATCCACCCGGCACACACTTGGAAAACACTAAAGCTTTTCTCCACCAGGTGGTTGAGGCTCTTGATCCGGCTGACAGGAGAAGGAGCAGTCCAGGGGGGACATGACTTACTGTAGCTCTTGGCCCAGGAAGCTGAACACGCAGTACCTTGTACCCCGCTAGCCTTGGGCAGCGCAGGCTTCTGATAAATGTACTTTTTTTGTGTGTTTGTTTTTCCTGGCAGTCTCATTTTGGGTTATAAATGGCTCATTATTTCCATCCCATAGATCCATTCTTGTCTCTGCTGTGTTCTGCTTCCGAAATGACAGAAAGGTTGGTAAAATCATCACTGAGAAGCCCTGCCTGTTCCGACCTTGAGCGGAGGCCGAATTGCCACATCGCTCATGCCCTCCACAGTTGCTCCCTTGTGGGAGCGGTTGGCTGGAAAGCCGCCACCCTCCACCCCCACCGCACCCCCACCCCCTCCCCAAAGCAGGGGATATCATTCTATTTACACTAAAGCACTCGGTGCCCTCCAATGCCAGGAAGCAGCGTGGACTTTCGCTCACTCCAGGCCTGCAACCTTTTCAGAGGACTATTGGGCAATCGTCAGAGGTTGTGAAGTTGGAACAGCATTCTCCCCAGATAGGTCATTTTCCCTGCAGGGCAGCCTGGAGGCAAATTTCATTAAGTATCAAGTAGCTGACCCAAAGCAGTATAAATAGCGAGAGAGCATATGACAAACACAGAACTGAATGTGGTTAAACCCTAGGCTGAACAGGCGTAATGTGTTTACTGTCATCAGCATCCGCGTGGAGGTGTCTGCCCAGCAACCATTCAGGAAAGGTGTTGAACCGTAGGGTGATGTTAGGGTTCCACCTTAGACAAATAATTTTATCCCCATGTTTGAAAGCTCGCCGACCACACAGTTAGCCCAAGGAAGGGACCTGAAGATAGGTGGGATGTGCTTTCTTATGGGTAAAGATCGACCTCATAAAACATCCCAGGTTCATCCAGCTAAGAGCCAGAGAAAGGATGGAAACCTGATTTGTAGCAGGTAGGAACTGTAAGGAAGATCCCCTGGAGGAGGGCATGGCAACAACCCTTGATAGCATACTTGTTTCAATGCTATTCTCTCAGAACATCCCACCCTTGCCTTCTCCCACAGAGTCCAAAAGTCTATTCTGTACGTCTGTGTCTCTTTTTCTATTTTGCATATAGGGTTACCATTACCATCTTTTTAAATTCCATATATATGCGTTAGTATACTGTATTGGTGTTCATCTTTCTGGCTTACTTCACTCTGTATGATGGGCTCCAGTTTCATCCATCTCATTAGAACTGATTCAAATGAATTCTTTTTAATGGCTGAATATTCCATGGTGTATATGTACCACAGCTTCCTTATCCATCTGTCTGCTGATGGGCATCTAGGTTGCTTCCATGTCCTGGCTATTATAAACAGTGCTGCGATGAACACTGGGGTACACGTGTCTCTTTCAGTTCTGATTTCCTCGGTGTGTATGCCCAGGAGTGCACTCCAGTATTCTTATCTGGAGAGTCCCACGGACAGAGGAGCCCGGCGACTGCAGTCCATGGGGTCGCTAAGTCAGACACGACTGAGTGACTAAGGACAGCACAGCACAGCACTGTAGGCAGCCGTATCAGGCAGAAGGGACGCCAAAATGAAAAATTTTCAAGGGAAACAAGAGGAGACTTTTAATTCCCTGCTTTCCCCCACTGTTCCCTATCTTTATTTTAGGAAGCAACACAGTATAAACCATGCTTTAATGAGACCGATCAGCCTCAGATGATTGAGTTATGAGAGGCCACTGAGCTTGCCAGGGCCAGTTTCCTAAACAGGCTGCTTTGTTCAGCTCTGCCCCCACTGGCTGGAGCTGTTGACATTCCAGAAGATAATCTTGTGGTCTTATAATGATGGAAGGAGGCTCTGGGAAGGCACAGTGTAAGACTGATGGACAGTGGAATTTGTTGAACGTTTCTATTCAGAGACAACACATTTCCAAGGCCTCCCTGGTCTTGCCTGCAACTGCAGCGGCCTGTTTCCCTCGTAAGGAAAGATTTCTGCTTCATCAGATCGAAACTCCAAAACTATTTTGAAGGGTGTTAGTACCATTAGAGTCTAACTCCTTTGAAGAGGACATTAGCCTCCTGAATGTATCAATTCATGTGTGTTTATTAAAAATCAGTTTCTTAACTTTGTATCTAGAACCAAGGCAAAAAAAGCCATAGACGTTCAGAGTCCAGAGTGACCACGAAGGGCTGATGTAGTCAAGAAATGCTGCACAGGCGTGGTGGGGCATGGATGAGGACCTTTTTCCAGGCTCACCCTCGGTTTCTTGCAAAGACTGTCAGTTCCTTATTCACTCTGCGTTTCTTCCTTAGCAAAACAACTCCTATATGGCAACAACTCCTGGCTGAAGACTGTATTTCCTGGTGTCCCTTACAGTAGGGGATGGCTAATGAGGTTTAAGAGTTGTTGGGAGGGCAGCATTGTCAGATAAAATGTGAATTTCCCAGTTAAATTTGAATTTCAGGTAAACAATGAATAATTTTCAATATGAGCTAATATGTGGCTCAGCAGTAAAGAATCCATCTGCAATGCAGGAGACTCAGGTTTGCTCCCTGAGTCAGGAAGATCCCCTGGAGAAGGAAATGGCAACCCACTCCAGTATTCTTGCCTGGGAAATCCCAAGGACAGAGGAGCCTGGAGGGCCACAGTTCATGGGGTCGCAAGAGTCAGACCTGACTTAGCAACTAAACCACCATCACCATATATTGTTATTTTCATTTACCAAATTAGCAACTCTACAGGTGAGTCTTCTGGGAAAAAAGCTAGAATACTTTTTTGGCCCTTTTCCCCCTTTCGCCTCTTTCCTGGGTTATGGATGGGAAAGCTAAGACTTCAGGAACCATGTTGAGAGAAAGAGGGCAGACTTGGGGTCCCTAGTAATTGAACACCTTCCAACTTTTTAAGTGAGAAGAAACTACTGACTTGCTTTAGCCACTAATAGTACTTCTGTTACTTGCATTCATTTGCTATTCCTAACTGATAGTCATAATAACAAGTGCATTGTTAACTTTGCTGTTAAGTGTGTTTACTCTGTGTCATCTGCCTTTTATGTAACACAAGCCACTTCATTTTCACTTAATTTTCTTAAGACCTGAAGAGGGATGGGTGGTGCTCTTTCTACCCTTTGAAATGACAGCCCATCAGCATGAATTTCTACATGGCGTTATTGCCTTTTTTGCAAATAACATTTATATTTTGAGCACTTGCTTCAGATGATTAATAATAATAATATTACCAAAGCAGAGCAGTTCTCATCTCTGCACAAAGATTTGGTCTGAAAACTCAATCCCGTCAAATTATACCCTGAAACCCCAGAATTATTATTTCAAATCAGTAAAATCACATTTGAGTTTTGATCTTTTGCTTTGAGAAAAAAAATTTATATAGTGTAGGCCTTCATTAGCCCTTGTATTGACAAATGTTCTTCTCTGCGGTAAAGATTATCTGAGCATAATCATGTGCACAACAGGTAAAGCTGATTTGCAAAGCTCCATCGATAATTCAGGAATGATATAAACCCTAACTCCTCCAGGCTTATTAGCAAGTTGACTTCTTTGAATGTTCCCTGCAAGTCATGTGGGGAAATTCAGGGGGTCATAGGGTTGGCCTTGTTATGTATGAGGTCAAGCTAAATAGCTTAGCTCCGCTGGGTATGCAGAGGAAAAGAGGTCCCTGGGCTGTGAACGGTATAAATACGTGCCCTTCCTTTTGCAGTGGAATCTTTCGAAGGTTAAGTCATAGTAAATAATCAACTAAGATTTCTCAGATTGGCTGTGTTTACCTTTCTCTGGGAAAAAAAAAATTTCCCCATGAAGACAAAGCAACTTCGGCATGAGAGCAATATTTCCTTAGGCCTCCCTGCTTCAGACATTCAGAAAACAAGATCAGGCCTGGCCTAACTGGCAGAAGCTGCCTGGGGCAGACAGCTAGACTTGCCATGTGGGTGAGGGGAGGTGAATTAGAATTTAACAGAAGGGAAGGGAAATTCCCATTTCATGTTGTAAGAGTCTGCACAAGCCTTTCAGAGGTGAGCAGAGTCTTGCCCTTCACCTATCATTGGGGATAAATGATCAACTCCGGAAATCTGAGTTATATGTATATATATTGTGGTATATACATTGCAACAAGTAATACACAAATGGAATAAGACTGACCTAGAAGGTCTGACTTTGGTATTTGGTAACAGGTCATAATACTATGATTGTTGGCTCAGGAAAATTGACAGATGAGCATTTGTACATGTCCATATTACAGATGCAAATAAAAGTTGACTGATGTGAGTTGTGGGGGGAAAAACATATCTGCTGAGTAGTATTATCTATTCAATGTTAAGGGGGGAAAATTGTAATTTCTTTTTTTTGATTCAGAGTGCATTAATTTCTATTTTGACCACAGCATATTGACTATATTTATATTGAATACCCATCCAGCAAGCATTCACCGAGTGCTTGCCATGTGCCAGGCTAAGTAGAATGCATCCAGTAGTAACGCCTCTGAACTTCACAAGTAGGTTAGAATTTTACAAGACCCCTCTGTTCTCTTCCCTCAACAAGAACACAGCCTGAGCCAGCCACCTGCCTTGGACTATGATCTCTTAAGATAATGACAATTGCTGTTCAAAACAAAAGTGCACATGGGCTTATTTGTAAGTTTTTCCTTTCTTTCTTTTAATAACCTTATGAGAAGCCCCGTAGTAAAAAATTAAAAGACCTTTTTTTTTGTTAGAAAATAACAACTTTGGTCAAGTTTTTAAATTTCTCTGAGACTAGATTTAAATATTTATAAAATGAGATGGTAGAAAGTAGGGCTAGGCTGAGTTAATGATTCAGTTTTAGAATAAGCAATAAGAGAAGGTTACTAGCCACTAACAAACAGTATGATCTCAGGGTAGTTACTCAAACCTCTTAAAGACTCAGTTTCCTTATCTGAGAAATGGGGATAATGTGCTTATTGTTGTTAGAATGAAGTGGATTAACGGGTAACACACCTGGTTCAGTGCAAGCCATAGCAGAAATACCCCTGTGAATGTAACTATTTTCATTTTACTAAAAAAGTTATCTAAGTCTTGGTCTATAGTACGTATATATGTGTGTATGTATGTATCTCTCTCTTCTCTATCATCTCTCTATCATCACTGGTATCTTAGTAAGTGGTTAACTGAGGTAGGTCAGCATATTAGGGCACAAACATGTAGTGGATTCTTTTTTTTCCCCCGCCAGTCAGTGTCTAGCCCCTCTTTCTATCCGTCAACAACATCTAGGGCAGATTGTAGATATATTCAGTTTTCAAAAGCTAGGTCCATACAGTTAGCATCTTATTCTAGTTCACAGCTTCTCTCCTCCCTCCACCCTTTCCTAGGCTTGGGTGCATTGGCAGAGAGGAGGGAAAGAGAAGGGAATGCACCTCTTAACTGCCCACCCACCCCTGTGGTTCTCTCACCACTGTGGGTGCCCTATCTCAGGTTGCCCCTGCTGGCACATTGATGCCCAAAGCTGGCAGCACACTGTGGATCTGTGGACACCCCGTGGGGTTCCTGACTGTACGGATCAGTGACCTGGAAGACCTGGATGGTCTTCCCGTACCCTTCAGCTCCCGCTGTGGCTGTCACCCCCGCAGGCTGTTACACTGCGGCACTGTTGCTCCAGCATCTAGCAAGCTGTCTCTACGCTCAAGTGTAATTTCATTGGCATTTGAACTGTGTTCCAAGAATGCAATTTTCGCCCCTTAGATGCTTCAAGCTCCCGTGGGTATCTACTTCTGGCTGAGACAGTTAATTGAATAATGGCATGAGAGGTTACATTATAGTCTTGATTTAATCCCAGTGATTTACTTGTCTTTCATTAGTTCAGATTCAAATGTTTCTCCTTTATTAGAAACAAAGGAGTTAGCATAATAAGCACTTTGTATATATATTTTAAATATATAAGTATATATGTTATTTATATAATATATTAAATATATTATTTTATGTTAAATCTATAGGATATTTCAGATTATTATATATTATTACATATACTTCTGTCAGAGAAGGAATTCATTCCTTTAATGTTTTAAATGAAAATGCTCTAAATGACTATGTATGATGCAATATAGTATATATCATATAATATATACTATTTTATATGTATATTATGACCTATGATATACTTGTATAGTGGGCTTCCCAGGTGACTCAGTGGTAGAGAATCCAGCTGCCAGTGCAGGAGCTGCAGAAGATGGGGTTGCGATCGATCCCTGGGGTGGGAAGTTCCCCTGGAGAAGCAAATGGCAACCCACTCCATTATGCTTGCTGGAGAATCCTGTGGGCAGAGGAGCCTGGTGGGCTACAGTCCATAGGGTGACAAAGAGTTGGACACGACTGAGCACACACAAATGAAAATACTATATATTATTGTATATGTTATATATTAACTATACAAACATATTCTGTGTATAATAAATATATATTTAATAAAAGTGTATGTTGATGTACCAATAAGGGTGTTTTCATTTAAAATTGTTAAAGGAGAGAGTTCCTTCTCTGACAGAAGTAAGAACCTAGCTGTTAATCTCATTTTATCTCTATTTTAAATGTATGTTCTCAAACAATGACATATTTCTCCCTTTTAGAGAGTATTTAATACAGGCATCCATTTTCTGGTGCGTTTTAAAAATTACAATTTTTATCAAGTAATAAATTTAAAGATTTAGTTTAGTGGAATTTTGCATTTGTATCCATCTATTTGATGTTGGGTATGTACATTTGAAGTACACAAAACTATACTTTTATTATGTCTATTTTCATTTCTACCCCACAATGTTCTAATAAAATGACAACAACAACAAAAACAAACAAACAAAAAAGAAGCCAAGGCCAGAAAGAGCAAAGGGTGAGAATAAAGAGGAGAAAAGAATGAACACAGGATTGAGTAGGACCCTGTGTCAGGGTTGCTGTTAGTTCCTCACACAGTCTCTTCAGTTCAGTGCTCAGACAAACGTGATGGGGTTAGTCATATTATCCCCATTATAAAATGAGGACATTGGGGTTCAGAGTGGCTAAGTAATTTATCTATGGCCATACTGTTAGTTAGAATTTGAAACTAGTCTTCTTTGGTGCCAAAGCTTTATTCTTCCTCTTAAATAACTATCAAGGAGCCATCATATTCTCTCAACTTGAGCTTCCCAGAAAGCAGAACCTGAGATATTTTATTTAAAATAAAAGAAGAGGAGTGGCAAAAAAAGGAAGGGGCAGGGAAAGTGGGAAACCCAATACAAGGATGAGTTACTGGTATGACCACTACTGCAGACAACCTCTGCTCTATCTCACTGGAACATTCTGAGGAGCCTTATGAATTGCGTCTCAAAAATGCCTGCCTGGTAGACAAAAAAGGGAAATATGTATTCATTAGCTTTTGTCATCTATTGGTCAAGGGGTGGCCCAAGGCGTTACTGACCCTCTTACTTCTGGGTTGTGATGTGGTAGTTCCAGTAATCCCCTAGGTATATTGTGTCTGGCATAAGAGAAGACCTGGAACCGGATGTGAGAGGCATGTGATGAGGGCACCGGTGAGACACTATCAGATTCACACCCCGGGGAAGCTGCACGAAGACCCCATGGAACTCGATGCCTCTGCAGTGGGCTACAGTAGGAGTCAGGTGAGAGGATGTGAAGTGGTGCGTGACAGGTATCCAATACACACACACCAAGAATGCTTTGGTAGTGTAGACCAGACTGGGAAACCATTGCCAGGAACATGCCTCTTCTTGTAGCAGAGATTTCAACCTGAACCCAGGCCTCTTCTTTTGCTGGAGTTCATGTCCAGGCATGTTTGGCAAACTAAAGGGACAGACCTGAAAGAATCTATTTATATGTATCAATATGGAGGAGCCGAGAAAGAGATATTAAGAGATGGAGGGAATCAGATGGTCCTGTTCCATGACAAGGTCTGAACTCCATGGAAAAGGGGGCTCAGGCAGAAAGGGCAGGATCTGTTTCCATACCTTGATACCCAGCTACACAAGCTCTGTAGAGGCGCTGGTGACAGTGTGATAAAGTTAGGGAAGCTGAGCATTCGTCCCACTTCCGCTTCTGGTTCCACAGTAGGAAGATCAAATGTTTATAATGCAATAAACCCAGTTTGAGTGCTTCCAAGAATGCTGTTCCATGTGGCCCTGTATATTTAGACTGAAGAAGTTTCTTGAGATGTTTGTAGCTGTCATTACTGGGGGTTGGTCAGTGAGGGATGGAACTCAGAGTCTAAACAAGTCTCCAGAGATAGCACAGGAGTGGTCCAACCAGTAGGCAATAGGAAGAAGACTTGGCAAGTGAGGTGAGTTCAGTATTCAGTTGCAGATAGATAGCTTTAGTACAGGTGGCTATTTAAGAAAGAGAGGAGATCCAGTCATGGAAACTGGGTAAGAAGGTTACACCAGGGTTATTCCAGGCCCAGAGGAAGTAGCATTCAGAGTAGGAATCCAAGATGCAGCTCAGGAAAACATGAGGAGAGTCAAAATCCTAAAGGGACTGAAGCCAGTCACCGGAAGTAATGAGTCTTGGAACTGACTAGCAGCTCCCTTTAGTTCATCTGCCTAGGGTGGGTCCGAACGCCCAGAGGGAGGTGAAGAGGCTGTTTACTTGCTGAACAGGCAAGCCGGCAGCGGGGCAGTGAGTCAAGCTGCTCTTCACAGTTGAATTATCAGTAAACGCTGTGTGTCTGAATCCACCAGGAAAGCCTGGTGAAAGCCTGTCTGCAACAGGCCTTATAAGAGAAGACTTGCAGTTTGTGTCTGTGAAGAATCCCTTCTCTTCTTCTTCTTCTAGTAGAACTACTTTCTTTTTAAAATTTTTTTCCTTTTTCTTTATCATTCCAGTTTTATTGAGATATAGTTGGCACATAGCACTGTATAAGGTTGGGCTTCCATGGTAGCTCAGCAGTAAAGAATCCACTTGCCAGTGCAGGAGAGATGGATTCATTCCCTGGGTTGGGAGGATCCTCTGCAGAAGGAAAGGGCAGCCCACTCCAGTAGGCTTGCCTGGGAAATCCCACAGAGGAGCCTGGTACGCCACAGTGTGTGGGGTCACAAAAGAGTCAGATGTGACTTAATGACTAAGCAACAACTGTGTAAGGTTAAGGTGTACAGCATAATGACATCACTCGTAAATAAGGAAGTAATTATCACAATGAGGTAAGCTTAAGCTTAAGGTTAGGTTTAGGGTTAGGATATCTCACTGTGGTTTTGATTTGCGTTTCCCTGATGACTAGTGACATCGAGCTTCAGGTGTCTGATAGCCATCTGCATGTCATCTTTGGAACAATATCTATTCAGACCCTCTGCACATTTTTCAATTAGGTTGTTGGTTTTTCTGATATTGAGTTGTATGACCTCTTTGTATATTTTGGATATTAGCCACTTATCAGATATATTTGCAAATATTTTCTCTCATTCAGTAGGTGGCCTTTCCATTTTTCTGATAATTTCTTTTGCTATGCAGAAGCTTTTTAGTTTGGTGTAATCCCATTTATTTTTGCTGTTGTTTCCCTTGCCTGAGGAGACATATCCAAAAATAAAAAATCATGAAGTCTGATGTCAAAGAGAGTACTGCCTATATTTTCTTGTAGATGTTTTATGATTTCAGGTCTTACATTTGGGTCTTTAATTGATTTTGAATTTATTTGCATGCATGGTAGGAGAGAGTAGTCCAGATTGACTCTTTTGCATGTAGCTGACATGTGACCTAAGCCAAATCAGAATGCTTTGTTCCCTTGGTTTGGGGAAAAGCAGGAAACCTCAAAAGACCAATCAGATTCTTCCTTGAGATTTGCCATTTAGGTGCCTAATTAGAGAGCAGTGCTCTCCCAGTCTAGGGATCACAAACTGTAAAGATGAGATCAACGGGAGTGTTTTCTGTCACCTTTCCTGGATGCATGAGGAAAACCATCTACAGCTACAATGAGTTCAAAGTCCAAAGAAAGTAAGAAATAAAGAGAGATGAGAGTGAGTGAGAGAAAGAGAGGGTCCTAAGGACATTACTTAGACCCTGATGCCTGAAGCAAAAGACACCTCTGCTCTTTCATCAACCAATAAGCTGTCTTTTCCTTAAGCCAGTTTCTAGACTATTTCATGAGGTTCTGTCATTTGCCAAGGAAGGGAATCAGACTAGTTTATTTGTTTATTTAATGCTTCATAGTGATACATACCTATGCCTCCATGTGTAGATGACCTGAAATTTAGAGTTTGGACAGAAAATACTTGCTCAAGTCTGGCCTTCACGCTCTTCACAAGCACACTGACCACTTGGGTAAACACAGAGCTAATGGTTCCAATCCGGCAAGATCTCAGTGATCGCATGTCTGTGTCGTTGCCCAGCCCTGCTTTTGACATAGCTTGTTCTTCGGAGTTCACTGCTCCCTTTTTCCCCTCGGCCTTCTCAAACTATGGGTGGGATCCTCAGCTCTTTCTACTTTGAATCTTCCTTGCTGCCCATGAGTTTAAACCTACAACTCAAATCCTCACCTTTCTCCTGAAACCAGATACCTGTATTCAATTTCCCTTTGTGGGTTCAATGATCAGTTTACACTCAACAGGTCTGAGACAGAACTCCTGGTCGCGTGGATGGCATCACCGTTGCACCCATCATCAACCCCTGACAATTCCAAAGTTATCCCGGTGGTCCTTTCTCTCATCCTCATGTACACTAAGTCAAGGAGACATCCTTCATGATGCCTGCATGTGCCAGGAGCTGTGTGAGGTGCTGGAGGGAGATGAACAATCAGACATGGTCCCTGACCTGAAGAGTTTGCATTCTACCTTTCGCCGCTGCAGCCGCGGCCATGAGTATGCTCAGGTTTCAGAAGAGGCTTGCCTCCAGCGTCCTTCGCTGTGGCAAAAAGAAGATCTGGTTGGACCCCAATGAGACTAATGAAATCACCAATGCCAACTCCCGCCAGCAGATCCGGAAGCTGATCAAAGATGGGCTGATCATCCAGAAGCCTGTGACTGTCCATTCCCGGGCTCGATGCCGGAAAAACACCTTGGCTCACCAGAAGGGCAGGCATATGGGTATAGGTAAGCGAAAGGGTACTGCCAATGATCGAATGCCTGAGAAGGTAACCTGGATGAGGAGGATGAGAATTCTGCGCCGGCTGCTCAGACGATACTGTGAATCTAAAAAGATTGACCACCACCATGTATCACAGCCTGTACCTGAAGGTGAAGGGTAACGTGTTCAAAAACAAACAGATTCTCATGGAACATATCCACAAGCTGAAGGCAGACAAGGCTCACAAGAAGCTTCTGGCGGACCAGGCTGAGGCCCGCAGGTCTAAGACCAAGGAAGCCCACAAGCGCCGGGAAGAGCGGCTCCAGGCCAAGAAGGAGGAAATCATCAAGACTCTGTCCAAGGAGGAACAGACCAAGAAATAAAGTTCTCCCCCTCTTCTCTGTACATAGTGGCCTCAGCAATTGCATAGATCACTCATTCAATAAAAGACAAGCCTCTATCTGCCTAAAAAAAAAAGAGTTTGCATTCTAATAGAGGAGCAATCCAAGGCTGAAAGTGCTGAGTGCCACAAGAGCGGCAGCCAAGAAAGGACGAAGGCAGCCTGACAGAGGGCAGCAGTCACGTCTCCTGCTGGGGAAGAATTTCACAGACCGTGAAGGGACAAGGACATCATGAGAAAAGGGAGCCAGGAGAGCAATTGATTGAAGTGTTCTTGGAATGATGACTCTGTTTGCTGGTTCATGGCAATGGCTGGGGGAAGCATTGGGGAAACATGGTTGAGGTCAACAGTGTGGGTAGGACACAGAAGAGCCAATCACTGTCCCCTTCTTTCTTGTCTTCCCATATTATGGAGCTAGAAAACTGAAATACCAGCTTCCCTTGCAATTATGCATGAGCAGCTAGGGCCAAAGAGAGTAAAGACGAGTGTAAGTTGATGAAAGTCGTGGGAAAGCGTTTAAAAAGTAGACAGCCTGTACTGGCATGCTCATCTTGAGCTTCCTCTCCCCACTTCTTCCTACTTCAGAGCACATGTCATTACTTGTGGAAACAGCAGCCATCCTGGCACCGTTAGACCCTCCAGGAATGAGGATATGTTTGTGGGATGGCAGAGGAGAAAGCCAGAAATTTCCTGCTTCCTCAGTGACATCATCTGGCTACTGTTTCCCCCACCTCCCCACATGCCTTGTGCATGGGAAAAAAAAAAAATTCCTATTTGAGTAAAGTCACTGTTAGTCAGATTTTCTTTAGCTCACAGCTGAATAAAATGCCAATATATAAGCCATATGTTAGAAATATTGCATGCCATTCTAGAGAAATAGAAGTTTATTCTATAAGGAAGAAAGAGGCGAAAAACACTTTGCATAGAAATTAGGGGGATGCCATTATGAGAAAGCCCTCTCCTTTTGCTGCTCACTGTCCATAGCCTTTCCATAGCTCAGTTCAGAGTCCCGCTATTCATGAAAGCTTCTGCCCCTTGTCTTAGCCACGGTTATCCTCACTGCCTTCTGGGAAATTATCAAGTGTAGCTTAGTGACATATATTGTTATTGATTCTTCATGGATAAATTATATTAATATATAATATATATATATATAATGTATGCTCAGTAGGACTGTAAGTGCCTTGCAGGTAGTGGCCATGTTTTATCCTTTCACTCTTGAAGTGCCAAGCTGGAGAAAAATCACACATTGTTTTGGTGCTGGGGCACAAGGGTTTGGAGTTTGAAGCCTGACTCCATTGTGTAGACCTTAGGCAAAATTTTTAACCTCTTTAGGCCTCAATTTCCTTATCAGGGGAACAAAGATTGATAGTAGAACTTGACTCAGGGTTGTGAGGCTCAGATGAAGTATCTTCATGAATTCTTAGCATAATTTTAGTCATCGTTAAATATGTAGTCTAAGGATTGCTTTCATATCTTCCCCAAGTCTGGTATATATTCCAATGTGACTTTGCTGCTTTTCCCATCCTGAGGTGGACTCCACTTCCCTGCCCTTGACTCTGGACATTCTTTGACCAATAGAATGTGGCAGAAGTGAGGCTGTGCTAGTTCTCAGCCTAGGTCTCAAGAGGCCTGGCACATCTCCACGCTTCTCTTAGTGCCCCTGACTTTACCATGAGAACAAGTCCAAGAGGGCAACTGGAGTTGCCACCTCAAGAAGTAGAGGTGAGTCTTCCCAGAGAAGGCCCTCTTAGATCAACCAATCTGCTAGCTAGTTACATACACAAGAGAGAGTCCAGCCAAGATCAGAAAGTCCACTCTGGAAACCCATACACTTACGAGCAGTAATGAATGCTAACTCTTGAAAGTCAGTAAGTAAGGGGAAGATTTTTTATACAGCAATAGTCAACTGATTTAACTTATCCAAGAGAGAGGCAGGACTTCGCTGTTTCATTCCCTGCTCTATCCCCAATACCGAGGACAGTGTATCACACAATCAGGTGCCCGATATATGTGTTGCATAGATTCTTGAGTGTAATTATGATTACTATTCTCTTAAAGGGTCATAGTGACAAGGAAATGAGATGATGCGGGAAGAGCATTTAGTATTGCTCCTGGCACACAGTGACTTCTCAATAAATATTAGCTATTAACCAATGACTGACCAATTGATTAACACATTTTGTATTAACATAAGACCAGCTGATGAGTAGGGCTGTCCTGAGTTCAATGAATGAAGCAATCCTCTCTGTCCATCAGAAAACCTAAAATTAACCACAGTTGAGTCTTTAGCTTATAATTTTAAATAGATGGGCCTCCCTGATAGCTCAGTTGGTAAAGAAACTGCCTGCAATGCAGGAGATCCCAGTTCGATTCCTGGGTAGGGAAGATCCACTGGAGAAGGGGTAGGCTACCCATTCCAGTATTCTTGGGCTTCTCCTGTGGCTCAGCTGGTAAAGAATCTGCCTACAATGCGGGAGACCTGGGTTCAATCCCTGGGTTGGGAAGATCCCCTGGACAAAGGAACGGCTACCCACTCCAGTATTCTGGCGTGGAAAATTCTGTGGACTGTATAGTCCATGGGGTGGCATAGAGTCAGTCACGACTGAGTGACTTTCACTTCCTTTAAATAGATAGATGATAAATAGGTAGGTAGATGGATAGATAAGTAATAAATTAACTGCCCCAGGCCACCGTGTGTTGAGTCCCAAATGACTCTCAGTAGGCTGCTTCTTCCCCCTAGATGCTAGGGCGCCCTCACGTCTGGGGCACTGCTGGTCACCATGGGGGTCAGTGGTGTGTGTGTGGGGAGTCGAGGGAGTCAGGGCATGAAGCCTGGGGTAATTCCTCTGTAACTGCACTAAGGAGCTGGTCTGGCTTGCTAGCTCTGCTCTGCTATTGAGAAAAGAGGCCTTTTCTTCCTCACCAAGCAAAGATTCACAGTTTGTAATCTCTCAGTGAGCTGGTTAGTTCCCAAATTACATTTGGCCGCAGGAGGATGAACACATTGTACCCTCTCCGTGGGACTCATTATTTCCATTCTGGAGACTGTCATTTATGAAATTCCGACTTTCTTTCATTCTGTATTTACGCTAAGCAAGGCTAGGAATATTGTAATTGTCTGTGATGTTTTGAAAACACTTGTCACAAACCGAAGCCAAATGCTGATTAATGTCAAGTGTTTTGAAGAACCAAGCTTTTGGCTCATTAACTGGACTTGAATGGCATTACCCATCAGCTTCAAGTTCTGATAATTGCTCATCACAGATTGGTGCTAATTTAGTAATAATGGCACTGACAGATTTGTATGTTTTCCCCACACTGAACATTATGTATACATATAAAGGCTAGTGCGAATGCCAGAGCCAGAGTGGGAAGGCCTGATCCAGGTCTGCCACAATGTCAACGTGAGCAAGTCAGCTGACCTTGTCTATCTCCATTTCCTTACGTAAAACAAGGGGCTTAGAGGAGATGATCTTCAATATCCTTCTTACCGAGATCCAGTGGGGTCACTATTACATGCTTTGGTTTTGAGTCCCATAATAAGCATGGATTCATTTTAGGAAAGGCACAAACATGGGGCCAAACTGATATCCATGGAATATGGGCAAGGATGGCAGCTTACTTCCTTTCTCCTCTGCACCTTTTCTATATTAAGAGGGAAAGAAATGTTCCCTGTGGGGCTTGCAGGATAAGCCCTTAATCAAATGTTACATACCATCTGTTTGAGACAGTATTTGGTAAGTCAACTTAAGTAGCTATAATCACTGTGGAATCTGAAACTGCTTCCTGTTATCCTGTCTATTTTCTGAAGCAGAGGAAGGTAGTTGAGCTTGTTAAACCAGCACAAAACAGTAATATTCCAAGGGAGAAAGACACTTATTTTGAGGCTCATTCTTTGGAACCATTTATTGAGCTTGCCTTTCCTTTTCTCCCTATTCTCCCATTTATTTACACTGCTTCCTCCCCTCACCCTTTTATATCAAAATTATCAGCCCCTCAACGTGGCTTACTGACTTCCTCTCTGTTCCCACTCCTTGGCATAATCCTTGGGGATTTCAACATACTTGTTGATAATTCTTACCCTGGCATTAGAAGAGGGCCAGGCCCAGAGATGTTAATGATTGGTCAAGATGGCATCTCTGGTTCATGCCAGAGGATGATAGATTATCATGAGGCTTAATTCAAGCAGTATATATTGAGTGCTTCATAGGGTGTGGGCTCATGAGATGTTCCCCAACAGGTGTTGGAATATAGAGCTTAGGCTGCCTATCCTGCTCTCAGGAACTCTCTGCTCTGGTAATTTGTTTCTCTAGTTTGAAGACTAGGAAAGTAGCTTTAAAAGCTGCCTTAGTTTTCCTTCCAACAACAGACACATTTTCTTAAAGGCCCTCTTTCTCTTCTGCTGGCTGAATAACATATAAAATACCATGCTTTTCTATTTGAAAGGCTGGGGTCATCTTCTGGAGTCATCAGCTCTTTCCTGCCAGCCGGAGAGTTGGCGAAAACCAAGTAAATTGTGGAGATCATCTTGAGTTCCCCGTTGGTCCAAGTCCTCAGGGTTGGTTTCCCCGCAATGGGCATCTCCATAAGTCCTATGCCTCCCAGGATATTAAGCGTCATATAAACACTGCTCCACCAGGGCTGTCTGTTGAGTGGCAGTTGTCATCTGTCAGGAGGCAAGGCCATGGACTGTTTACTTGATGTAGAGACAAGACGACACCTCTTCCTGGAGCTTTTCAAGTGCTTAAGTTGGCCAGCAGTGGTGCTGCAGTGTCTGGAACTACCAAAGGACACTGATGAGAGAATGTGGGGTAGTTGGGGACATGACCTCCTAAGACTTACCTTGTACATTTGATTATAACGGGGATGGGTAAAGATTGGGGGTGTGGAGGTACAGATTGCCTTTCCACGGTCAGAGAAACGTCCTGGGGCTGAGAGAACTGGATGATCTGGTCTTCTGTACTATGTTATGCTGTGTGTACGGGGAGAGCTACCCTCTGTGCTATTGCCTGCCCCAAGCTCTGTGTCAACTTTACTCTAAAAACCAACTTAAAATGGTGGATTCTAGGTAGGC